TTAACCCTATAGTAACAATTACAACTGATGTAGTGTTTGTTTTTAAAAGCGCCATAGAAAACTAAGCTTTTGACTTTAAATTACTATTGGAACAGAGAGTTGCTGAGGCAGAAACTGTTTCCTTCCAGAGATTGGTTTTTGGATTGCTGTAACACAACTGACAAATCAAGTTGTTTCCTTATTTGCTGTAAACTTCAATGACTCGAAGGACACAATAACTTGTCATACAGAAATCTAATTTTCAGTAGGCTATGTTGCATCAGGCTTTTTGTTGTAAGTATATAGAATAAATATTAGATCTATTACTGTAACTAAGTAAGGAATTTCACAAATTCTATGAAGTATTTTAAATTATTTTATATTGGTTGTAAGCAGCACCAGCATAATTGACGAGTCCTTTGTCCCTCTGCACCCCCTGTTTTTATTTTGGAATCCATTTGATTTCTCCAGTTGCAGTTCTTGACAATTGTCACCTGTTGATAGATATCCCAACAAACTGCTGAGTTTGCCACAGCAGTCCTAGTAGGGATGGTGCTCCCACAATGCAATCGGCTGTTGCTGACGAAGGAATGCCGATATATGTCCAACAGATATTCGAATTTTCTTGCAAATCTTGCTGCTCTATTTGCTTAAGTAAAAAGCTGGTTTTGGAAGGCTAACTATTGTGCTACAAAATAGTTTAATATCTCATCCAAAAGATGGCACCTCTAACAGTGCAGCACAACTACATTACTGCACTAGATTGTAAACTTCAAGATTCCTTTGCACATGTTGGAGTGGTGCTTGACCATAAGGCCATAAGATATAGGAACAGAAGTAGGCCTTTCAGCCCATCATGTCTACTTCACCATTCAATGAAATCATGGCTGCTCTGATAATCTTCAATTCTACTTTCCTGCCCTTTCTCTATAATCCCTGACTCCTTACTGATTAAAAAAAATCTGTCAATCTTAGCCTTGAATATGCTCAATGACCCAGCCTTGACAGACCTCTACAATATAGAATTCTAAAGATTCACAACCTTCTGAGAGGAGAAATATCCTCATCTCTGGCTTAAATATGTTACCCCTCATTCTTGAACCCACAGCCTTAAAACTCAGAGGTGAGTTTCTTTTCCCCATGAGACGTAGGTGTCAAGGCCAACATTAGTTTCCTATTCCTAATTACTCCTGAGAAGGTGGTGATGAGTTGCCTTTTTGAACCACTGCAGTTATTCTAGTACCAGTATCTCCACAGTGCCGTTAGGAAGGGAATTCCAGTATTGCAATCCAATCACATTGAAGGTATGGTAATTTAGTTCCAAGTCAAAATGGTGTATAGCTTGAAAGGAATTTGCGGATGGTGATGTAGTCATACATTTGCTGCCCATGTCCTTCGAGGTGGCAGAGGTCACAGGTGCCATGGAAGGAGCCTAGGTAATTTGCTGCAGTGCATCTTCAGAATGGTACCATTGCTACTACTGTGTGTCAGAGGTGGAGGGAGGGAGTGGATGCATAAGTTGGTGAATTGGGTGATGATGAAGCATATAGCTTTTTCCTGAAGTAATCTTGAGTGTTGCTGAACCTGGATCAGCCAAGCAGGTGGACAGTTTTTATTCACAGTCCTGTCTTGTGCCTTATAGATGATGGTCAGACTTTGGAGAGTCAAAAGATGAGTTACTCACTTCAGTATTCTGAGTCTCTGACCTGCTGGTATGGCTATTGTATTCATATTGCTGGTCTAGTTGCTCTATAACTGGTCAATGTAGACCCCAAGATGTGGATACTGAAGTATTCAGCAATGAAAATGCCATTGAATGTCAAAGTGAGATTATTAGATTCTTTCTCATTGGAGATGATCATTGCCTGGCGCTTGTGTGGAGTCAATATTACTTGCTATTTATCAGCCAAGTCTTGAATTTTGTCTAAGTTTTCCTGGACATGGGTATGGGCTGCTTCAGTATCTGAAGAGCTGTGAATGGCACTAAACCCTGTGCAATCACCAACAAACCCATTTCTGGCCTAATGATGAACAGAAGGTCATTGATGAAGTAGCTGAAGATAGTTGAACTTGGAACACCTGAGAAACTGCTGCAGGGATGTCCTGGAACTGAGATGACTGGTCTCTAACAACCACAACATCTTCTTTTGTGCTACGTATAACTCCAAGCCGGTTATTGTCTCTACTTTTCCAGAGCTCCATGATGCCACATGCAGTCATGTGATGTCAAAGGCAGTAACTGTCACCTCACTCTGAGTTCAGTCCTTCTGCCACTACTTGGACAAGACTATATTGGGGTCATGAGCCAAGTGGACAGGCAGGACCTAACGTTAACATCAGTGAGTAGGTTATTGCTGAATAAGTGCTGTTTGTTAGCACACTTGACAAAACCTTCCAGACAATCAAGAGGAAACCAAAGGAATGTTAATTAACCAGACTGCATTTGTCCTGCTTTTTGTGGACAGACATACCTAGGCAATTTTTCACATTGCCAGATAAATGCCAGCTGTAATTGGCTGCTAGTTCTAGAGATGAAGCCTTCAGTACTGTTGTCAGACGTTGTCAGCACCTATCATAGGGCCCTGACAGGGCCTTTGCAATATTCTATACCTTGAACCACTTATTGATATAGCATGAAGTGATTCAAATTGGCTGAACAGTAGCATCTGTGATGCGGGGGACATCAGGAGGAAGACAAGATAGATCATTTGCTGGCACTTCTGGCCAAAAATGATTGCAAATACTTCAGCTTTCTCGTTTGCACTAATATGTTGAGCTCTGCCATCATTGAGGATGGTGACATCTGTAACGTCCCCTCTGCCTATTACAATTAGTTTTTTAGTTGTCCACCATGATTCGTAGCTGGATGTGGCAGAAATGCAGAGTTTAGACCTGATCTGTGGTTGTGGGATCACTTTGCCCTGCCTATTGAATGCTTCTCCACTGTTTGGCACACAGATAGTTGTAATCCTGTGTTGTAAGCTCACCAGGTTGGCATCTGGGAACAGGGTGGCATGATGGCACAGTGGTTAGCACTTTTGCCTCACAGATCCAGCAACCTGGGTTTGATTCCAGTCTTGGCTGACTGTCTGCAGTGTTTGCACATTCTCCCCATGTCTGTCAAGGTTTCCACCAGGTGCTCTGGTTTCTTTCCACAGCCCAAAGATGTGCAGGTTAGGTGAATTGCCCATGATAACTTGCTCATAGTGTCCAGGAATGTGTAGGCTAGTGAGTTAACCATGAGAAATGTCGGGTTTTGGGGGCAGATTGGGAATTTGGGGGACGTAGATTTGATGGGCTGAATGGCCTCTATCTGCACTGTAGGGTTTCTATGATTCTAAAAGAATGAAGGGTAAACCCGGCTAGAAGGTTGCAGACAATGGATAAACTTAATTTTGGTACCAACTTAGCCGTGGCTGACACTCTTTAAAATATAGTGAGTGCGGGGTTGTTAGTGAATAGGAAGGTGGGCTTGAGGTTATTAGTCTAACTAGTTTGATCCTGTAGAAGCTGGACAGGAAGGGCAGTCAGCACTGTAGCCTCCCTTTCTTTTCCTGTTCCTCCATTCCTGTTACAGCATCTCCTTCTCCTTAGCTTTTACTCTGATTGGTCATGGCAAAGGCTGTTAATTAAGAATGACCACACCATGTCACTTACTACTCTCTATTCAGCTGAGTACTGCAAGGTTCTCCACTGCACTCCTGGCAATGGAAAGAGTGTTTGAGGATGCCGGTGATGTGTTCTATTATGATCCCTGGGGTAGCTTGGTTCTCACTGGAGCACTACTATTTGTGTGCACCTTGAATCCTTATGTGACTGCGTAGCACCTAAGAAAATAATCCAATTTAAATCTATCTTTATCTCCTCCTTCCACAAGGAGGATAGGTATTTGAAACAACAATCAATTAAGTAACTAAATACCTTCTAAGTGTAATCTAATTAATTCATTGGTTGATTATCATGGGAAGGCAGTCACACAGTGCTAACTTACAGTATTAGTATTCCAGATGTCCAGAATCAGGAGCCATAAATTCAAATCCCATTTCGGGAATTTAAGGATGGCCAACAAATGCTAGCCTTGCTAGTGACATCCATATCCAATGACAAATGACAATGCTGTACAATGTGATTCATTTTCTAAAGTAAGGAAGAGTCATGACGATTGAAGACCCTTCAGCCCATTGACTTTTGCTATAAGTTATTTTTAAATATATCCATTTTTGTATACAAGCATGGAAGATGTTGAAGACCGTATTACCTAGAGCTTAAGCGGACCAAAGTATGCAATTTTAAAAAGTCAAAAGAATGTTAAAAAATAGATGTTAGGAATAACTGCATTACTCAAACAATGATAAATGTGTGGAATCATCTGCCAAGCAGAATGGTAGGGACAGAAATCTCAGGGCATTCAAATAGATACCAATGCTGAAGCATCATGTTAGTAGATGGGACAGTTTCAATGAGCTACAAAATCCATTTCCACCTCAGAAAATTCTTTTTTTATGGTATAGAAATAGCAACACAACACAAACATAGAGAACAAAAGATGAACCAAATTGTACTCAAGCTAAACCCACTCAGCTGCTATGCAGACTATCTCCAAAAATGGGTGAGAAGAGGATGTATGAAAGGTCTCTTTGGGGCTAATTTTGTTTGTACGATGACACAGCTGCCAACTGAACAACATTAACCATTGTGGTGGCCTTACTAAAGTCTGGTCTGATCCAGGTTTGAGGGGCTGAACTAACATTGGGGCCAGGGATGCTTTTCAGTTGATTCCCACATAAACTTACAAAAACACATCCCAACAGGCAGGGTCATCCTGATGTAAAGCTTTACCAGTGCCTGGTCTCCTTTACATTCAAAGGAGTTGGGAGAAGCTGGACAGGGAAATAAGAATGGTTGGAGAACATGATGAATAGAAGGCACTGATTAGGGCTTGAATTCTTAGTCTTTTCAGTAAAACAAGCAGTTTCAGTGAAATAACAACATCACAAGTGCATATCATTGCACCAACTTACATCAATGGTGCTAGCTGCAGCAACTTCATCTAGGTGTTTAAAAAGTGCATTTAGCACATCTCGTAGTCGCTTCATGGTTTTTTTATTTGGTTGTAGAAGCATGGCCTGGAAGTTAACAGGAAGCCCATATCTGGAAAAGTTGCAATGTTAATAGAATAATCGATCAATTTATCATTAATTGTATTTGTTTATCTAGTATCATGCATAATTAGGTTGTAAAGAATAGTTGAAGCGTTCATATATTTTCAAACAAGTCTTGAATAGCTCAAAATCATCGGCACATTAATTGTACAAAATTTAAAATAATTTCAGACATTTCGAATTTAAAAAAGAATGTGAAGTTGAGTCTGCTTATCATTTTCAACCCAACTATGTTCACTTTATCCTTTCCCCCATTCCCCCCACCACTCTCTCCACAGATGCTGCCTGATCTCTTTGGTATTTTCAGCAACTTCTGTTTTTATTGTTCAGGTTTTGGAGTCTGAACAGAAGCTCACATTACTGTGTCGCATGTGCAAACTGAGAGTTTTGTGGATAACACTTTTATGGATGTGGTCACCCTCTAGCTTAATGCAGGCAGAGAGTGAAGAGATAGTCAAGAAGAAACAGGCTGAGTCCAACCTGCATTTAACTGCTGTTGAGAATGATGGTTCATCTGGGGAGTGTTGCCAGAGCCAAGGAGGGCACAAGAAAGAACTGAAGAGTAATAATGACATTATTCAATAAAGGAATAGATAGGTGTTTCTGCAGCCACAGATGTTAATTGTGGATGATGTGCCTCTTTGGCACGAAGGCAGAGAATATCACTGAACGTCTAATAAGCATGCTCAGGTGGAGGGGGAGGAGCAAGCAGTCGTGGTCCATATTAGTAACAATGCTAAGGGCAGAATGTGGATATAATCCTGCAATTAGAATTTAAGAAAATGAGTAGGCCATTACTTTACAGGACCTCAGTGGTAATAATATCTGGATTACTCTGAGTACTACATGCAAGTTTATAATAAGATGATGAATGTGTGACTGCAAAGTTAGTGCAGGATGAAGGGCTTAAAATTCCTGGGACTTTGGGACCAGTTCTAGGGCAGATGAAACCTATGCAGGCCAGATGGATTTGCACCTAAACAGAACTGGGATCAATTTCCTTGTGGGGAAATTTGCTAATGCTACTGCTGAGGGGTTAAACCAACAGAGCATGAATGTGATGGTACTATCATATGGAAAAGCTAAGGTGCATAGAACACTGAGAATCAGAGAGAGACAGAGAGAGAGAGCACTAAAGCAGGAAATAGAATGTTATCAGGTGGGGTTTCAGAGTAAGGGAGAAAGTAACAAAGTTTATAATAGTGTTACTGTGCATGTATTTGAATACAGAGTGTGGTAAATAAGATTGGTGCATTATAGGCACAGATTACCACTTGGAAATATTATATTGTGACTATGAAGAGGACCTGGCTCAAAGAAGGACAGAGTAGGTTGTTAAATATTCCTAAATATAAGGAAGCATAGGAATGAAGGAAAGGGAATTATGGAAGTATTGATTCATGAGAACGTTTCAATGCTGAAGACAGAGAATGTCCCTGACCAAAACTAAGAAACAAAAAGATGCAATAACTTTGTTTGTGTAGTCTATAAGTAGTCAACTAATGAGAACATGCAGGAAGATATTTCCAGGGAAATTAAAGAGAGGTGCAAGAATTATAAAGTAGTTATAATGGGGGACTTTAATTACTTGAATATAGACTCAATTAGTAATAGTGTAAAGGGCAGAGAAGGGCAAGAAATACCTCGGAGATTTTTTTTTTACTGCAGTAGGTTTCTACTACAATGGGAAAGGAAGACCAAGTTCTTAGGAATGATGTTAGTCAAGTGGATCAAATGTCTGTAAGAGAACATGTAGAGGACAATCATTATTGGATTATAAGTTTTACGTTTCTATTGAAAAGGACAAGGAACAATCCACAATAAGAATAATTAACCGAGGGAAAGCCACCTTCAAAGGGGTAAGAATGGATCTAGGCTAGATAGATTGGAATCAAACATTGGCTGGCATATTGGTAAGGGAACAAGGAGTTGCCTTTTGAGGACAAGCATAGTCAAGGCAAATTCCCATGAAGGGGAAAAGATGGGGTAAATAAGTCTAGAGTTTTTTGGATGAAGGAGGGCAAGGACTTTAAGATGAAGAAGAAAAAGTGTGCTTATGACAAAGGTCAGGTGAGTAACAAAACTGAGAACCAGGCTGAATGTAGGTTTACTGGGAAGGTGAAAAAACAAATAAGAGAAATAAATAGAGTATGAAAAAACACAGGCAGTCAATATGGAAGGAAATCCCAAAGTTATCTTCAGGCACATGAAAGAATGATAAGAGGGATAATGGGGTTGTTTAGGTTTACAACATGTGGCTAAAGATGGCATAGCTGAGCAACTAAATAAATACTTTGCATCTGTCTTTACCAAGGAAGAAGTTGTTGTGCAGGTCACTGTGGAAGAAGAGATAATTCACATTCCTGAGGACTTAAAATTGATAAGGGGATGGTATCTTATAGGCTGCTGTAGTTAAAGTTGCTAAGACACCCCTGAATGAATGAAATGCATCCAACAATGCAGAGAGAAGTGGGAGTGGAAACTGTGAAGGCACTGGCTATAATTTGTTGTCAGTCTTGCTTTGACTCAGTGGTGGTGCCAGAAAAGCTGAGAATTGCAAATGTTACACCCTTGTTCAAAAAGTGCGTAAAAATAAACCCAACAACTATAGGCTAATCAGATCAACATTGATGGGGGAAGCTTCTATACACAATAATCCTGAACAATATTATTAGTCATTTAGGCAAATGTGATTACATAAGGAAAATAAACATGGATTTATTAACAGAAAAGAAATACTTGGCTGGAATTTTATGATCAGATAACAGAAAGGGATGGTAACGGTAATGCAGTTGATGTAGTGCATGTTGACTTTCAGAAGACATTAAATAAACTGCCAGTCAACAGACATGTGAATGAAGTTAGAGTGTCTGAAATAAAGAAACATGAATACAAAATTCGATGAATGGAAAGAAACAAGACAGTGATGATTAATGGACTTTTTTTTGTTAGAGGAAGGCTTTTAGTGGCGTTCTCCATGGCTTGATGTTAGGATTCTTGTTCTTGATTTATGTTGATGACTTAGATCTTGGTGCACAGGACACAATTTTAAAAATAGCAGATGATAGAAATCTTGAAAGCAATGTGAATTGCAAGGAGAATAGTGTAAGGATTTAGGCAGGTTGGTGGAATGAGTGAAAAGTGCAGATGAAATTCAATGCAGAATTATTAAAATGATTCAGTTTGGTAGAAAGAATGATGAGAGAGGATATAAGATGGAAGGTACAATTTTAAAGGGGGTGGAAAAGCAGACATAAATATGTGCATAGTCACTGAAGGTGGTTGGTCAGCTTCAGTTATACAGGGGATTGGTGAGACAACATCTGGAGTACTGTGTACAGTATTGGTTTCTTGTTTAAGGAAGGACGTAAATAAATTGGAAGCAATTCAGAGAAGGATTACTAGACTAATATCTGGAATGGATGAATTATTTTATAACAAAAAGTTGGACAGTCTAGACTTGTATCCACTGGAGTATAGCAGAATAAATGGCAGCTTGACTGAATTGAGATCCTGAGGGATCTTGACACAGTCGATATGGAAAAAATGTTCCCTCATGTGAGAGAATCTAAAACTAGAGGTGACTGTTAATAAGGAGTCAACCATTTAAAACAGAGATGAAGAGAATTTCTTTTCTCACAGAGGGTCATGAGTCTTTTGGAACTCTTTTCCTCATAAGGGTTTTTGAATATTTTTTACGCAGAGATGGATAGATTCTTGATAAGCAAGGGAATGAAAGGGAGGCAGGATCTGATCAGCGACAATCTTATTGCATGGTGGAGCAGGTTCAAGGGCCAAATAGCCTTTTTTTGCCAGACAAAATCTCAGAAATAGGAGTGCCATCTTATCTACACTGCCAGTATCTTTTGGCTTAAATAATCATGGGAGAGGAATTTCCAAGATGATTTCATAAGTTTAATTGTATGTCAACTCCCACTGTCCAAAGATTAATCATGAGCTGCAAACAGCTAAACACAGAAAGATTCTATAAAGGATATTTCTCATTGATCTATAGCATGCATCTTGTAAAAGCTGTTGTAGATAAATATATATGATTTGGATAGCTGTAAGCCAATGGGAAAGAAGATATAGGACAGAATTTTCCTGCCCCTAGAAGTAATGAGAAAGGTGGTGAGAAGGGCAAATAATTGTGCAGTTCTGAGGAAGGGTCCTGAAACGTTAACACTGATTGCTCTCCACAAATGCTGCCAGACTTGCTGAGCTTTTCCAGCAATTTCTTGTTTCGGATTTATAGCATCTGCAGTCCTTTCGGTTTTAAACAATTGTGCAAGTTGACGTTGGAAGACTCCTGGTCAACTTTCTAGACCCATCATCAATTAAGGTCCTCTGGTGGTGAATCAACAACACCCAAAACAACCAACCCAATTAACCTGGTTCCATTGTAGCAATGAAGAGTGGCAGCCTTTCTGACTGGGAAAACAGGGTGGCCTGACCCCTAGGTTGGGGGAATGGGGGCACGGTTGGGAGTGGAGTATGGCCACTGAAAACCACCCCACTACTTTGCATCAAACCAACTCTGCCCCGACATCCTATTCCCATGACACCTCCCCCCCCATCCCACAATCCTCCTCAAAAACAATTCACTTACCTTTCCCGGTCCAGGTCTTCATTGCTGCTATCAGCCAATATCCTAGTTCATTTGGGACTAAGGTAAGAAGGAAGTGTCTTTGCTGTGAAACACTCGGTTGATGAACACATTCAGATATGAGCTTTACAGATTTTTGGTGCTTAAGGTAATTGAGGGATGTGGACATGGCTAGAAAGCTTTGATGTACAAGTCCAACCATGATCTTAATGTAGCAAACCTGATGGGCCCTACAGCCTAATCCTTATGTTCTTAGACACAGCTGTTGGAATAACAGAAAGAAGGCTGAGGATTTATCAGACAGGCAGTAACAGAGCATTGATGTCTCTTTCAGGATAGCCTTCATGTTGCATGTAACATGTGCACAACACAGTAGCAGCTTTAAAAGCCACTTTGTCCATAGTATTTATGTTTTAAGTCTCTTCCAGATACTCTTATTGAAATCTGCAGCATCTGTTAGTTTGCCATCCATTGATATAGTACAGAGGTCACAAATGCATCATTCATCAGTGTAAATTACTCTGTCACTTTTAGTCATAAACAGGAGCAAGTTGTGGGGGCTATATTTGTTATTGAATGTCTTCTGAAAATGCAGATACAATATATCGACTGGTTCCCGCTTATCTATCTTGTTAGTTATACACTCAAAAGTCTCTATTAGATTTAATGATCACTACTTCCTTTTCATAAATGAGTACTGACCATGCCTAATCATACTATGATTTTCCAAGTGTCTTGTTACTGTGCCCTTTCACATTTTCTCTGAGTATGGTAGATCCACAAAGATGCAAAGCAGAACACTAATGGTGCACAATGCATGTTACCTGAATTATATGCACTGCTTTTCTTTCTTGTTGTCTTAAATGGGTAAGTTGCTGAAAATTTTATTAGACAATGGGCTGTGGTGAATAAACAGCAATCTCTTTGGCAATGCAAGTTTAGTATGTGGGGTAGCAATGTACATTATATATCAGCATTATATTGAAATGAACTGTGCAATTTACAAGCAATTACGCTAGAAAAGTACAGGCAATGAATCTCATGAATATCCTCACTGCTGAGGCATTCAGACTCAACTTCCACTTCACAACAATTTAGAAACCAACACTCTGTGGGCTCTGGAACTGACACTGAATAAACAATTGTTCAATAACAAATGAATAGTGCAGGTAATTTATCAACTGTGGTTATATTGTCTAAACGGAAGTACTTTCAGTGATTTGTACAGATAAAACAAATGTTACATACCTAAGGACAGATTCAACAAAAACTCTTAAAGCTTTTATGTGAATCCAGGCAATATATGCTTCGCTAAAATTAACTTTTAGCCAACGCAGCAAAGGACCCTGGGAATTAAAATAATATAAAATTAAACAATGTATTTTTGTCAGCACATTTTGGTTTTATCTGAGATAAATGCATACATATTTGTCACAATTGCTTTTTGATATTTATGTGCTAGCTTTGACTAAGGAATTTTAGTTATTCCTACTTCAACCTGTCGAGGATGATGTTATGTCCCTAATGCCCCATGTTGATCAGTTCACTGGGCACAAAGGGTGGAGATTCATAATGATTTTTTTTTGTGCATTTTTTTATGATGGGTGGGGATAAGGGGAAAGGTGATGAAAGGTAGCATGTCAAAAAGAAAAAGTTGGAAAGGCCTACTAAATAGATTCATTCACAGATTTAAGATTATTTCTGCATAATTTTGTTCTGCTATAAAATCTGTTCTTCTAAGTATCAAAACAATAACACTGTTATTGTACCAGCAGGTTCAGCAATTCACCCCAATCAATATATTTGGAAGAGAGGAATTAAATAAGCAGGTCAAGCTACTTGAGAGGTGCACTATGACTACCTGCTGGTTGTAGTCACTCATCCCAATCAGGAGAGATAAAAATACCTCACTGCTGGACAATTTGTATATGGAGAGGTTCCAGTTATCAAGGCTAGTTGGAAATGATTTGTCTAAAAACCTGATTAGTAATTACTCTAATTACTATGATTTCTGTCCTTGGCCCAGGACATCCGTCTTGAAAAGGTCAAGGCTGGCAGAGAGCAACATGTTAAACAATGGCCTTAAGCAATCCTATTTCAAATAAGGTGACCAAAACTGTGCACAATACTACAGATGAAATCTCACCAACGTAATTGGAGCATAACCTCCCTTTTGTTTTATTCAATTCTCCTCACAATAAATGATAACATTCCATTAGCTTTCTGAATTACTTGCTGTAATGTCATCCCAGTTGCATATTCCATACTCTCAATGACGCTGCTTGTGTGTCAGCATTCAGAACACATGTGGGCTGCAGGCAAATTGAAAGTCCCCAAATCACCCATGTAAATTCATTCACAGAAATAACTCATCAAAGAAAAGTTGTCCCCCAACAGTTGAATGGGAGTGTTGAGCTGCCTTCTCCAATCATAGGCTGGTTTTCTGTCCTACACTTGTTGCTGATAACCCCTTCTGGTGACAGGAGGTGGAGCTGCCAGGAGCAGAGGGAATGGGGGCCAAGATCTGGTATCCAGCAGTCGTTCTATTGAGGGTGGGGGAGGTGGGGTCTGAAGCAGTGATTTTATCAAAGCCACGGAGGGGGAAAAAAGACAGTTGTGGCCTCCTTGGGTTCAGGGGCTTTGAAGGGAAGAAAATTGAAAGGGATGGACAGTGAAAGGGGGTGGGACAGTGAGGTTACAGTGGTTTGAGCAAGACAGAAGACTGCAAGATTGGGTGGATTGGATAAGGAAGCTCAAAAAGGAGCTGCGGAAGGCTGCAATGAGGTGGTGGGAGACTGGGAGACTGCAAGGTGGGTGGGTGGGGGTGGAATGCCCCCAAAGGAGATGAATGTAAGAAAGAAAGAAAGAGACACTGTGTGCAGGGTTGGGAAAGAGGAAAATTGCAAGGGAGGATAGGAGAACAGAAAGGGAGGTTTTATGGGGTGTGAGAGAAAGAGAGAGAGGCTTCAGAGGGTGGGAAGAGAGAGGGAGGCTGCACTGTTGGGAAAAAGAGAGAAAGACGATGATTTGATTTGGGAGGCCACAAAGAAGGGAACAATTTCCAACCTGTCAACAAAGGAACAATCAACTAATTAGGAGCTCGGAAAAGTTGAAATCACTGAGGTAATGTCATTGAGTTAATGATCCAAAGTCCCCATGTCATGGGGACATGAGGTTGATACCCAGCACAGCAGTTAATAGAATTGTATCAGCATCAGTAATCAGACCAGGAAACTATTATCAATTGTTGTGAAAAGCCATCGGTGTTCTTTTGGGAAGGAAATCTGCCTCTGAGGTCTGAGTGACATATGACTCATGATCCACAACAATGTGGCTGGCTATTAATCTCCCTCTGAATTGGCAGAGCAAGCCGCTCAGTTCAAGGGGAATTAGAGATGGGAAACAAATGCTGGCCTTGCCAGTGACAACCACCTTACGACAATAAAGAAATGAGCAAGACTGATGATGACACCCCCCCTCACCCCCGGAGGAAGTTCAGGGCTAGATTGAGGGCTGGTAGGAACTAAATGCATGTGGCCTTGACTGCTCTCCCAAATTACTGAAACCAATGGTTTTTACCATATTTTGGCCAGATTCCTGTGCCATCTTCTAGCAAAACTAGTGGGCTCATCTCACCAGACACAGGAGGGTTATCATTGTGGCATAAAGATGCAGTGCAAGTAATGTTGCTGTGCTAACTGAAGATTAGAAAAACCTCTTAAAACAATCCAAATGTGAAGTTCCTGTTTTAAAATGGCAATTGATTACCATGGAAAAATAAGCTTTTTAAGAGTCTTGTGGCAGAGTGGTAGTGTCCCTAACTCTGGGCCAGGAGATCTAGTTTCATGTTCCAATAGCCTTGAAGGTGTTTCATAACATGTCCAAACAGTTAAATTAAAATAATTATAAATATTACTGCTCCACTGAGGTCACGTTCGGGACCTTGGAAGCTTCATCCAAGTGTGTGGCGCAGCATGGAAAATCGGATGGAGTTAACAGAGATTCTGACACAAAGTTAACTTGTCAATCATGCCTCCTGTTCTGATGTCTGGGAGGATGCGGATACAAGAATTGTTGTGACAGATTGCAGAAAACCAGCAGAAAAGAGGCTTGACATGACGAGATGCCACACCAAATATCCCCCTGCCCCCTGCCCCCATGACTATTTAGGGAATAGAAAATATAGCCATTTAATTTTTACAGAAAATGTAACACAAACTGAAGTAAGCTTATATGTCTCTCTTATATTTAAGTTACTTACTGAAGCCACCTTATAGCTGAGTGTTCAATCAGCAAATATTATATTTCAAAATTTTGCAAAAGTCAAATTTGTGATTACATTTCCAACTTGTAAAACAGAGAAGTAAGTGGTGAATGTTTCTTCTATTTCTTTCAAGTTGGACCATCAATGTTGAATAGAAGTCGATACTCTCACACCCTAATTGGCTTGTATGTGCATGAACAATTCATGTTCATTGTGTTCTTTGACCCTCTTAATGTTGCTTGCTAAGTTATATCTTGTTTGACATCAAAGCATGCCACCACTGGCCTAGCCAAAGTGCCGCAGCACTGGAACAATTACAATTTGCAGGATTATCTGAACACTTAGTTGTAGGAATGTGAAGTGAAAATTAGTGAATATTGTGTGGGGGAGAAAGGT